ATTCACTTTTCTACGCAGATGATTTAGTTATTCTATCAAGATCGAAAATTGGATTACAGAACTGTTTAAATGCGCTTTCTTTGTATTGTGACAAATGGAAGCTAAAAATTAATCCGAAAAGAAAACAAAAATTATGATATTCCAGAAACGCCCAAAAAAATCTATTGACATCAAATTCAACATAGGCAGTGAGTCAATTGAAATTGTCCAAGAATACACTTATTTAGGTACACGTTTAACTCCAACGGGAAACTTTACACTTGCACTCGAACACTTAAAAGAAAAGGCCCTTCACGCGTTTTCTAGTATTCGGAAGCGGACAATTCTTAACAAACTTAATCCTAATACTGCGTCCCAAATTTTTGACACCATGGTATTCCCAATCTTGAGTTACAACAGCGACGTATGGGGAATGTACACCAAGCAAGATTTTAAAAAATGGGATAGCTCCCCAATAGAAAAAATCCACCTCAAATTCTGTAAACGTTACTTAGAGGTTAACAATAAGGCCTCTAACATAGCCTGCAGAGCTGAACTTGATAGACTGCCGCTGCTTATCCCGATAAATCAGAAAATTATGAAATATTTTGTTTACCTCAACAACAAAGATAATGACTCTATAGTCAAACAGTCTTTCCTTATGTCAAAGAATCTACATTCTATGAATAATTCCGGATATTTTTCCAATTTCATAAACATGCTTGAACAATACAATCTAACCAGTTTAGATGCTGAATCTCTAGATAATGATAAAATTAGACGATATACCACAGAAATGAGAGAGAAATATCTATCTTTTTGGCGGCACAGCCTCGAAAATTCAAAAAAAAACTAGAATTTTATAAAACTTTTAAAGATGAATATTCTACATCTGATTATCTCTACCAACTAAGACATTATGACGAACGACAGAATTTTGTTAAATTTAAAATAAGTAATCACAAACTTATGATTGAACATGGTCGATACCAAATCGATCATTTGCCAAGAGAAAATAGATTATGTCCTTTATGTAACTCAAATCAGGTAGAAGATGAGATTCATTTCCTCTTTCAATGTAACAAATACTCAGTACAGAGACAGGCATTTATTAATCAAATCAATCGAATAATACCTGAATTTGACAAGAAATCATCTCCAGAAAGCATAAAACTGATAATGAATTCGAAGGAACATCATGTAAATAAGTTAGTTATGAAGTTTGTTTCCTCCTGCATGAAAATACGTGATTCATTGTTAGTAATGTAACCGAATTTTTCTAGATTATTATTAGTGCTGTTTTGTTTTATATTTTGATTGTCATATACATGCTTTTGCAATACTGTAAAATGATGCGGTCATGCAAATAAAGCAATTTATTACTATTACTATTACCATTACTACTACTACTACTACTACTACTACTACTACTACTACTACTACTACTACTACTACTACTACTACTACTACTACTACTACTACTACTACTACTACTACTACTACTACTACTACTACTACTACTACTACTACTACTACTACTACTACTACTACTACTACTACTACTACTACTACTACTACTACTACTACTACTACTACTACTACTACTACTACTACTACTACTACTACTACTACTACTGTAAAATGATGCGGTCATGCAAATAAAGCAATTTATTACTATTATTACTACTACTACTACTACTACTACTATTACTAATAATAATAATAATAATAACAAATAAGTAAAGAACCTGTACCATTTAATAGCCATAGGCTAAGGCTAACAAACTATTGACCCTTCTAAACTTTTGGCCCTCATATTAAAAGGATATATAGCTTTTACATCTACGCCTTTGTTTATGATTATATTATACAAACTAACAACCCGTATTTCTTTTCCTAAGGGCCACGTTCAATGGGAGACAGCGATGCCAGCTAACCTTGGCTACATGTCTGCAATGTTGTACAACCAAAACAACTGCGCATCAGAATCCTCTCCTGTCACAAGTAAATACGAAATGGAGGTGGGCAAAGACCTGTGTGTCATGGTGGGGTATGACAGGGACAGATGTATGGGACATCTCACCGCTGGGGGATCTGTAGCCAACATTGAAGCAATTTGGGCGGGAAGAAATGTGAAGTACTTTCCACTGGGACTACAAGAAGCTTTGCTGAAGGACAAAAGACTTTCTGGTGCCAAAAGTTACAAGGTACGTTTCCCTGTTTTACTTACGTTCTGGTTTATTTATCCATGCACTTTACCTTTTGCATTGTTTAGGCATAATGTGGACGGATAGATTTGGTAGACTATATATATATAAGAAAATACCATTTTCAGTTTGGCCAGACGTGGCAAATGAACATTACTTACCGTGGAGAGTGTTAAGAAGGCACAAAGACCAGAAAGAAGAAAACTAATGGAGTTTCTGCTTTAAATAACTCTCATATGCCAAGTAAACATCTGCGATGAAATTAACTGGATTGAGTACACATGGTGTAAAGATATTGCATCGTTTAAATCACAACCACTTACACTGTATAACTTAGGTTCTTTTCACTGGAAACCATTCATATCTTTTTTGTTTGATTTTTTTATTATTATTGATTTGCTCAACATTGTATGTAAGGTTACAATATTTTGATAGTGCTTAAGAAATAATTACAATATTGAACAGGAAGTCTCAGAAACCTTTCTGGTCTTATCGAGGAGACTCCCTGTCAGTTTTCATCAATTTCATTTGATTATGATGACATAGACGATTTTGGCTAGTAAATAAGGTTTTACATCATCAATACTATATATGTGCGTACATCGAATATATAAATAAAATATTACAAATGTGGCATCACTGTTTCATTCTACCTCTTCACTCATCAGATGAATATTCTCAAAAAGTTTAAAAGAATAACTTGACCGACCATCTCTTATGTCATCCGTCAAGCTATTATAAATTATATCTAACCCCTTGTTTGCAACAGTAAATTATCGTACATTTGTTTTACCCAAGGGCTTATGTAGACGTTTGTATAAACGAGTGTTATGATCATGGATTTCATTATTTTTCTTAAAATTAAAAATTGGTTAACGCTCCAGGAAGTTGATTTTGTGAGGACTGATATTTTAGACATTCAACAACAAATTTATTCATCTGTTAAATATTGAGAATATTAAATTGTTGAAATAAAGATTTCGACAAATGATTATACTTTTTAAAAAACAGCATGATCCCGACTAGTTTTTTTCTGCAGCTTAAAAATCTTGTCTAGATTCCCTCGACTCTCAAAGTTTGTCTCGCTTCAGACAGAGAAACATCGAGATTTTTTTGTTATAATATTATAATTATTATTTCCTGGCAAAGAGAAGCTAAGAGAATTAACCATGTCCCTGTTCGTGAACAGTCAGTGAGTGTTTAGTGACGGATCCATATATTTTTCTAACTTTATTTTTTCTCCGGTCAGGTTTTATTGCCTCAAAGAGGAAAAAGAAGAAGAATTAATCAGCGCTTCACAGTGGGAACTCCTTAACCTTGATGTCGACACTATCTTACAAATGCCTTCAGATGTACAAGCTTTGGCAAGCCTCGAACATCATGAATTTATGGAAATAATGTCGAAGTACCTTTATGAGTCCATTGGAACGCAGGAGTTTGTAAGGCGACATATGCTAACACAAAGTCCATGCATTGTTGTTCCAAGCACATTACACATTTCCTTGACGAAAGCAGCCACAATCCTTGGACTTGGTCGAGAGAGCCTTGTTTCTGTAGCAGTTGACGAAAACTCGCGGATGGATCCTATTGGTTTGTAACAGTTTCTGTCTAGAACCCCCCCACTAACTGTAGGGTGTATTTAGTTAACATTAACAAAATGCGTATGAACCAACTTGTGAGTTATATATGGAAGTGAATTACATTTACTTACTCTTTGCTTGTAATCGATCATCACAGTTGTTTTTCATTGAAAGATAACATTCACTTTTATGGAATTTTAGATTTGAACCGCATTCTACAAGAAAAATTGGATAAGGAAATTCCAGTCATAACGGTAGTAGCTGTCACAGGAACAACAGAGCAAGGCGCCGTTGATCCAGTGACTGCAGTTGTCTATTCGCGCGAAAAGTTTAGAATGAAGGTAAGGATAACTTGAAGTATATCTGACTTCATATCTGAAATTTCTTACACTGTCAAAACCATTGTACTCATCATCATCATCATCATCATCATCATGATAATCATCATTTCTTTCTTCATCGTGATCACTAAGATCATCAATCGTTTTCGGCGATGTATTAATTATATAGATCCTTTTTACCTGGCACCACTTTCCTAAAATATTTATGCCATAAATTAGGTATTACTTTGAAGAATTGTCTATTTTAAAAACCCTTGTCTTTATTTATATGAAGGGTCTGAACTTCAGCATTCACGCGGATGCAGCCTGGGGAGGATATTTCTGTAGTATGCTGCGCGCGCAGCCGGAGAGCAGTCCTATGCCGACAGCCAAACAAACAGGATTTGTTCCAGAAATGTACCTGAGTTCCTACGTCCACGAACAGTTATCAGCTCTCCACCATTGTGATACAATCACTGTTGATCCCCACAAATCTGGCTTCTGTCCTTATCCTGGTGGTGCAATCTGTTATAGAGACAGAAAGATGAATTCATTTCTGTCAATCACCAGTAAGGCGCTCTTTTTGCATGGGAACATGCTTCTTAATAATGTTGGTATCGAAGGATCCAAACCTGGGGCAGCTGCTGTAGGGGTCATGATGGCAAACAGGGTAACCATTTATGAATCTTTTTCTTTTAGTATTGTATTAAAAAATAGTCTATATAAGACAGCCCAATTATTACGACTATTTTTCGACAAAACACCAAGTTATTTTTCTGGCTCATGTGTGATATCATCATAAAAAAAATAACCATAGAATTTGAATCAATCTCTTCTGGAAACAAGTGAGCTTGATGCTTATAGCACAGTTGTTATTCTATGCGTAGGGTGAAAGAAGCAAAGGTTTTCGGTTTCAGAAATGCACAGATATGCGTATTCTAAGTAAGCTCGAAATTTGTCAATATGGATGCGAAAACCTCAATATGTGTGGCGAAGCCTTTTTCTAACCCTCAGGTCTGGTTGTTCCGCTGGAAACGGAAACAGTAAACAATTCGAAAATTTATCAAAGTCCATTAAAGCGTAATTTTTGTACTACAGAATTTATGTTTAAAAGAGGGATTAGTCAACTATTGTTCTTGCCAGTTGCTTATAGGATGAATAAAGCTTACTTAGTGTTCTTCAATATCGTTTTCCTCTTTTCGTAGGTCATTGGTCTTCACAAACACGGTTATGGTCGTATCCTGGCTGAGTGCATGTTCAACGCAAAGATTCTGTACTGTCAGTGGGCAACGCTGGCCAAAGAAGACGACATTTTTGTCATCAAAACGACGATTCCTCTACCCAGTTTGACTAACTGGTCAGAGGAGGATCATATTACCTTCATCAGAGAACGAATTCTCGCAAAAAGCAACGAAGAAATTGCTCGGGTAAATCTTTTAGCTTGTTTATCGCTGGCGTTTCATAAGTGGTATTTTACAAGTCAGAGTTATTAGTCAAAAGTAATTAAATAGTAGGAGGTTTTGTACAGCCCAATAACGTCAGTCTAATTACTGTTAATAACTTTTATACATAACTCTGCTGTTGAATGACTCCCGACAACTAATTCCTATTCTAAGAAAACATACGACAAAACACATTTTTCACTCTTTCTGAGTGCCTTTCACGACCTTAACTGATTACCAGTTACAGGTGTAGGTGCGACCAGGCTTTTGCCAGCTAATCGGATTTGAGAAATTTAGGACCAAACGATCATTGATTAATAGACCGTTTTTAGCTTGTATCTTTTGTTTTCCAATTGCAGACCACGTGATCGTACCTGAGAGAACTGTTTCTTTCAAACGTCGTCCGATGCACGTGCATCCACGTGCATATGTATGCATAATGTATGAAAAGACAAAAAGGAAAATCCCCAGGCGAACATCATCACGTGGTCTGAATAGGGAAAACAAAACTTACAAGCTAAAATGGTCTAATGAAAGTTTCATCAAAGCAGACGTTCCGGGTACTATTAAAGCCCTTTGTTATAAAGGGAACAATAGCACTTTAACTGACGTCACCTTTTGAATTTGCTTGCGGTGACAATTTTTTTTCACTTTATCATTGACAGCGAGGCAACTCTTTGATAAAACGTACAGCAGCAAGGTTAAGTACTGTTTTATCTTGTCTGTCGTCTAGGATGATAAAGCTATGCTTTACCTAAAAGAAGTGGGCCCTGATACCTTGATACCGTGTTTCGCTGTAAACCTGAAAGGAAACCAAAGCGTTGAAGTGTGCAATGCAATCAACACAGCGATATTCGAAAGGCTCACTCACACATCAGGGGAACATACAGCGTTTCGCATCCCAATGCTTGTTACCTCATCAAGTATGGTGTCCCACGTCCACAGTGTTGCAGCCACAAATTTAAAGACAAGATTAGGGGTAAGAGAGAACAAAAAGAATCGAAATCTGGTATAACGAGAAACCTTCTCGATGCCCTTTCCTTTTGGAAATTCGATTTATATTTTAAAAGATCACGTGATATATCTAGGACCATATAAATAACTGAAAATTATTGATGGTTTTTCTTGACCACAGCCATGAAAAGTGAGGCAGAATTACGCGTGTCTAAACTGCAATATGCACTAATCTACACATCTTTCTTTCTTTCTTTTTTTCTATTCAGCTTAACTCAAACAACGACACACCAGTCAAATATATCATAACAACTTGCATGGATCCCTGGGTCACATCTTTAGATTTCATGGACCACGTGTCATCTGTCATGAGGAACACTATTTTGTGCGCAATTGGAAGGGTAAGGGCTAATTTACTTTTCAAAAAACCTTTGATTTTAAAAGGTTGAATGCCGTTAACACATCAATTATTTATGATCAACACTGCTATTTTCATCTCTGCTTTATATTTAAGGTTACTGATCCTACTGCCCTCCACAACTTTGTCAGTACGGGAGTTGTCAATGAACAGAACGAAGTAATCGCCTGTTATGTTGGAGATTTTAACAGAGTGCAGAAGCAGTACGAAGCAATTGTCAAGTTAAAATTCATGCACGACAGGGACGCCGAGAAGTACATCACTACAGAAAAGAAGTTGTTAAAGGAAAATGGTGCCCGAAAACCAATTGTCTTCCGAAGCAAACGGCAAAGACTTCATGATGTCTTCTTCAAGGATACAGGGTACTCTGGTGAATTGGAGGAGTTCGACTGTTTCATTGGGTTGCCTTCTGATAACAGTAACCACCCGTTTATGAGTCCAAAAATGAAGATCATAGATGTTCCACGTTACGAACATTTTGACAACCATGAATCTCCTGAGCAAAGTGACTACTTCATGTACGGTGACATGAAAAACGTGTTTTTGTTTCACATCCCTGCCAAGAGTTCCGACTTCTATCAGGTAACAACGCTCTGTTGATCCAGTATACTATCATCATCATCATCATCATCATCATCATCATCATCATCATCATCATCATCATCATCATTATCATCATCGTCAGCAACATCATTTTTATCATCATCGATATGATTCTCATTCTAAGACCGAATTTCACATAACAAGCATTTTAAGAAACAAAATTCTTCAGCAATTTTTTTTTTACTTTACGTCAGATCAGATACCAAAAGCTCTGAATCCTTCCAGGCAATAAATATAACTCCCGGTCAATTCATAAGCCATATTTCCATTACCGTTTTTATTCTCAAGTAAAAAGATGCATGGATCAAAAGCCATTTTCGCTGAAAACTGAGGGGTTCGTTCGTAATGAAGCTGTGAATTGTGTAAGACATGAGATTTCTCGAAAAATTACACTTTTCATCTCATGAACATTATGTAAATTACGTCACATGACCTCTTACGACCACGGACTCCCAAAAAATCTTTAAGCAAAAATGGCAGCCCGTTTAGATTCGAAGTTATCCAACTTAATTGCTACAAGACAACTTACAATTTAAAGAACTACCAAATTGTGCTTGGCAACATTTGAATATAGAAGCAGGGTTACATTAGGAGACAGATCATTCTAGCTAGGTCGCAGCTCCGGCACTTTGGAATGTATTACCGCGTGAGATTCGTTCTATTACAGATCTAGGGTTTTTTAAGCGCCATCTGCATGAAAACGCACCTCTTTAGGAAGCTTTTTATCAATTTATTAATTTTTAATTTTTATTATGATAATTACTAGTATTTTAACATATGTTGTATATTTTAATTTTATCATAGTATATTTTAAATAATTAGTAGTTAGATACCCTTTATTAAGTTATTATAGATAGATATTATCTAATGGGCGCTTGATCATTTCATGGAAAGCGCGCAATATAAGAATTAAATTATTATTCTTATTCTTCTTCTTATTATTATTATTATTATTATTATTATTATTATTATTATTATTATTATTATATGTAATTACTTTTGTAGATAAACGGCTTTTCTGACTAGTACTCAGTTCCCCCATTTCAAGTGGTTCCTTTAATCACACTTTTCCTTTACAATATGTTAAATAATATACTTGAAGGCCTTAAAATTATGCAACTAATAAAAAAAAGGTTAAGGACACAAGAAAAAGTATGCCCATAACCAAATTGGCAAAAAATAAAAGTGTGCTTGTCTGACCAAGTTTCGAGCTGCTACCACAAAAGCTTTGAAAGAAAGACTACCCCCCCCCCCCCACACACCAATTTTTAACTGAATAAGTGGAGACCCATGCTCTAGTTAACTTGAGTTATTCTCATTCTCATTCTCATTTTCAGTATCATCATCATCATCATCATTGCTGAATAAAATAGTAACAATAATAATAACAATAACATTGTTATTATTATTATTATTATTATTATTATCGTTATTGTTATTATTATTATTAGGGCTGATTAACAAATCTCATTCCCTTGTTTTTTCCCTTTTTTTCTCGTTCTACTAAAGATTGTACAGCTTGATGGTGTTCCAAACAATGTAGGATTTGAAGAAGATGATGACCTTTTACTCAAACACGGAATTGAAGTGAAAATTCCCAGTGTTCCTGATGAGCCTATGATTGTAAACGGAGAAATCCAGGAACCCTTGGAGAAAAGGGAATTTGACGTAAATTTTCTTGGAATTAACGGCAAGGAAGTTAAGAGTAATGTGAGAGTAAGGAGAAAGATTTGGTTTGCTCCATCTACACGAACTTTTTCCAATCTCATCTCGGTCACTGTCAGAAAAAATATGTTTAGTTCAGATAATTTAGCAAGACATTTAACTGACCTAAATTTAAGTTAGCGAATTGAAATATTGTCAACTTATTTTGAAGCTAAGTTTTTAAAATTCTGTCACACTAGTTTTAGTTCTATTTTCTCATAGTAATTGTAACAAGAATTTAAGACAGTGAACTTGGACACTGAGCTGTTTTCAGAAAGTGGTTCTTCAACGACTGTATCGCAATGAAACAATCGTGGAAAAAAATGCCTCGCTTTTCTTTAATTTCTGCCGTTTTAGAAAGCACCAAGAGTGAATACACACAATACACATGTAAATGTCATGATTATTTATGAATCTGTCGAAGCCTGGTGCGAGCGGCGCGAGTGCAAAATGGCACTGAGGGGCAAGAGTGAAGAAAAGTTTAAATTGAAACGGGTTGCAATCGGGATTTTTGAAACCTGTTTAGCCCGTTGTTTTTGTCGTTTGATGTACAGAATCTTCTCGATTAAACGCCGCAGATGGAAGAAAAATTAAGGCGTTTGTTCGAGGATTATAAGAAAGAATTCCGTATGACTCGGTAATCTACTTAATTAATACTGTAACATATCTATACACCATCCAGACAACTGCGATTCTATCTCAACTTTTAAAAAGCGAGACTTAGGAACTTCAAAAATCTCTCTGTTTTACATACACGGCAAGAAATATGGCATTCACCGTCTCAGAAAACCCTCGGTTAATTTTCGAAAACGCGGCATTTTGCTAAAATTCTCTCGCGTTTTCCTGTCGTGAAATCCACTCTTTTCCCGTCGTTTTCTGGCCGGTGAATTTGAGTATTCGTCCCATTATCCGATAGTTTTCAGGCTCAGTTAACACCAGGAAAACGCTTGTTTTACTGGTGTTAACCGGACCGTTAACGCACGGATAATACAAGCAAAAGACACGGAAAACATACGGCTGGCTATAAAAGGGGGTGGTAGGCCTACACGACTTTTACCTCATGCCAAAATGCTGCTTATTCCAATGAAGTTGTTTTTATCTGCTGGGTAGATTATGCTCTGGAAGGTTCTGCATTTTACTGAGCAAATGTGGTTTTAGCAATAAAAGGGGGTGGTAGGCCTACACGACTTTTACCTCATGCCAAAATGCTGCTTATTCCAGTGAAGTTGTTTTTATCTGCTGGGTAGATTATGCTCTGGAAGGTTCTACATTTCACTGAGCAAATGTGGTTTTAGCCGCATGTTTCACACTGAGAGGTCATGACATATATATCGATTGACTGTAGTTATTGTTTTCTGGTCGGCAGGATTTGCGCTGTGATGCAAGCGCATATTCTTTGACCTCTTTTGAAGCGTAAAGCTTTTTTTATTACGGCTGAATAAGGGTTCCAATTTTCTCCAAAGTGCCTTCTGGATCTGGTCTAAGCGATTTTCTTTAGTCCGTGAGTGTAATGTTTTTCTGCAATGCTGTATCACGCTGGGCCCAGCTCGTCAGTTTTCTTTGCAGAATGTTAAATTATCACGGATAGTGACTTACAGATCCAAAATTGTAAGAGTGAACTGCAGCTTAAACTGAAGCTACATAAACTTACTATGGAGAATTGAATTGTGACTCAGTAAACTCCAGCTTAGTGTTTTTCTAAAGATAGTGTGAGTCTTTTGACTGGAGCGCGTAGTTCCTCCCTTGGTAATAGCCGTATGCTGGCTAAACTTGTTTTGTCTCAATATTTTGGACCAACTAGTTGGATTTTACTAAAACAATAAATTATTCCTCTCGCCCTCATGGCCTCTGAGTCAATAGCCCATTCGGGCTTGAGGAATAATAAATTGTTAAATATAAGTGGACCAGTGGAACCCCAAATGGCAATAGCACACTGTTAAAGAAATTTCAAGTGCCATATTTGTTCTGAAATAAGTCTTGAAACAAGGTTTTCCCTGACTTACTTTTAAAAATGTATTTACGCTCCACTGTTATCAAGCATTAAAAAAATGAAAAGAACTACAATTAATTTTAATGGCCCACAGCAATGACTCAGGAACTTCATCACGGCCTCTTGTACTTGGAGGACCAACCCTTCTGTTAACAGATTGCCTTTTTTGCTGGTTGGACATACTTCTTCTATAGGGAGAGTCCAAATTGTGAAAAAAACATGGAAACCTCCTCTGATCTCCACTCTAGGGGCCTTGTTCTGAGAACCCTCCTCATCTGACTCATCGGACGAAATCAAGGCTGAATGTAGGGCTTCTAAGACTGGCATCTTCTTCTCATCTTCTGTAACCACTTTTAGTCTTTTCTCAAGTTTCTGGTTGAAATAATATAGAAATCAATTATTTTTGCTAGATTTGATTTTAACTTTCAGAGCATCTGTAGTCAAGAAAAATATTCTCATTGAAAAACCAGTAGTGGTCACTGATCTGTAGCTGTCACATTTAGAGAGGCTTAATTCTTTTCCCTTTAATTAAATTATTCACAAATGCTACCAACTGAGTAATGCCACTGGATTGTGTTCTATCCCTGGAATCCCTTCTTTAAAACAACATGTAATACTGTTTAAATATACATGTGATGTACAGCTAGCTTTATACTTGAGGAGTCAGATGGCTTGTGATTAATTGATCACAAAAGTGTCCTTAGGTGGGTATGAAGGCTGATAATTTTCATAATCCAAGTTCAAGAGTTCTGTAAGAAGGTTGAACTGCTTTTTTATATCACTCTGTAATCATTGTTGTGCTGGCCCCATGAATAAATTTTTTACAAGCTTGCAAGTGCTGACTTAATAAGTCTCCATTATTGCACGACTGTTTCATGGTTGCATTAGGTAAGTCCAATTTTGGTCGATTTTCACCAAGGAGATACTTAAAGATAAGATAAAGGATGGTAAACTTTCACTCAAACAGTTCGGTGTGGATTTGGGGTTAGATTAATGGTGTTGTCATGTTTTTTTTTTTTGGCAGCAACTCACAAGGAAACAAGCAAATGCTTGTAGCCTAGTAGTCGCTATTTTATGATGAATATATTAATTTTGTTGTTATCCCTCGTTGGGCTTCCTTCTCGTTTGAACTCAACTGCAGAAGGGGCTCAAGAAATGCAAAAAAATATATAAAAATTATTTGAGTAGTAAGAAAAATTGTTCCATTCTGATCAGTTTTTGTAATTCTTACCTACATTTTCTTCTCACAACATTTTTCAACATAACAAATATTTTGTTATTCATCACGAAATATCGTGGCTAG